ATATTGGACGTGAAGAAGGGAGCAAGTTGCACGTGTGGAAAAAAAACGACGCCTGATTTAAATGTCACACCTGAACGCTCACATCCTTTTAATTATGTTTGAAATTATGAACATTGCTCAACATCATGAAAATTAAACCTTATTTTCAATAAGCAATCCTGAAAAATATTTGGGGGTGCTTAACTTTTTTCCAGGTGTATATGTTTCAAGTAAATCAATTGTGGTTATATGCACTGTTACTATCGTGATTTTCGGAACTATAGTTGTTGTTTTTTGTTTCTTTTTTTACTGTTTCATGAAAATACAGTTTGGTCACATGCACTGTTACTATCGTGACTTTTGGTGAATATCGAGTATGAATAGCAATACGTTCCACTAGCCACTTATATTTGTATTGACGTCAAATAAAACGTGCTCGTTTGTAATATCAACTACATTATATTGCATTACAATATTACATTCACTAAATAAATTTATGAGTCCATGTTCATTTTCAGCAAAAAGAAGCACGCACTTCCGGCTTGAACTATCAAATACAGTGTTTTGCAATATGGTTTGGTTTGTTGTGAATTCGGCACAAAGCTACACGAGGACTATCTGCACTTGCCGTCAATAATTTAGCAGTGATAGACTAGAGAGAAGGCAACTAGTCAACATCAACCACCGCCAACTCTTGGGCTACTCTTTTACCGAATAATGGGAATGGTCGTCACATTATAACGAACACAGTAACGGGGATTCGTACCCGCGACTTGCATATTGCGAGTCGGATGCCCTAACCACCAGGTCATGCCATTGAAATATTTGTTTGTTTTGGATTTCGCGCAAAGCTACACGAGAGCTATCCACGCTAGTCGTCCCTAATTTAGCAGTGTAAAACTAGAGGGAAGGCAGCTAGTCCTCACCACCCACCGCCAACTCTTGGGCTACTCTTTTACCAAAGAATAGTGGGATTGACCGTCACATTATAACGCCCTACCAGCTGAAAGGGCGAGCATGTTTGTTGGGATGGGGATTCGAACCAGCGACCCAAGCGCCTCTAATCACCTGGCCATGACGAGCCTCCATTGAAATATGGTCCCCATCAACTATTTGAAAACACTGCTTGTGGGTTCATGGATTTGATGGTTGCAGGGTTCCTAATAAGTCATACAAGAAAAAAGTAAACAAAAATACCATCGAGAGATAATCAATGCTGGGGCTCTCGTGTATTTTACACATAGAAAATGATTAATTTCACCCATTTTTTTATCAGTTCATTACACATCAAATGTTGTAACACAAAAACATAAAATTACTCCAAATTAAACTGATATAATCAATAGTGAATAATACCACGTAAACGTGTTACCTATTTTTAAAGTACGTTAGGGCTAAAGCATTATGTACAACTAATCTGAAGTTTCAAAAGGCTCTAGGTAGGAAAAATACCAAACAAATATACGAAAATAATCAGCTTAATCAGTTTTTAAAAGATTAACCGAATAACAAAAGTAAAATTTTCTTCATTAAACGTAAATACGATTTTGTTTGACGTTTATTTCATCTATCATAATTCCATCGTTACACTTGTAAAACGATATTGGCTGTTTTAGTGTTTAGATAACTATAAAACTAACGTGTCTTTCATGTCGAGAGCAGTAAGTGCTGAAGTTAAGTGCGAAAGTGTATCCCCCCTTATATCGTGAAGCTCGCATAGGGTGGACAAAAGTTATGTTTTTTTTTTTTTCGTACGGCGATCTTCTTTATTCGTTTGTTTGTTTTCAATTATGCACAAAGCTACACAATGGGCTATCTGTGCTCTGCCCACCACAGGTATCGAAACCCGGTTTCTAGTGTTGTAAGTCCGCAGACATACCGCTGTGCCACTGGGGGGCGAGTAACTTATAGAGTTTGTTTGTTGTTTAGCCAAAGCTGTAGGGATCAAACCAAAAAATTTGGTCTTACAAGCCCCCGAGAAAATTGTTTAGTTTTCAGATTTGTCGGCAGATAAGTTTCGGTAACTTTTTTGTAAAGTTTAAAGTGACTGTAGAAATTCTGTGTATTACTAAAAGTTGTATCGGGAAAGAATAAACTAGTTTAATCAAGAAAGGACTTGTATCGCTGAAGTTCCTCGGAAATAATTTCTACCGGAAATTAACAAACAAGCAGATACGCAATATTATTATTTTGTAATTTTAGCTTTGACGATCTTCAAAAACGAACTTCATATGTTATGACGAGGAACCCATTTTCTACAAAATAAAATTTGGAAACGGCTTGAATTGGTGTTGAAAGAAATTTTGTTACACATGTACAACGTTTCGAAAAGCTTATGTCATCATCCGGTACCATAAGCTGGTGGTAACGTTGTATATTTGTAACAAAGTTTCTTTCAATACCCATTCAAACTTGATAAACAAACTTCATATGTGAACACGTATGGGTGGGGCGGTGAATTTTTCTTCAGTTCACAGAAAACAAACAGTGCTACACTTTTAAAAAATAAAACAAAAATTAATTAACTTCTGTGGTTTGAACGGAATGGCTCACATTAAAACCGATTATCGACTCTACAGACACTTTTAAACGTTCAACTGTTTAGTGACGTTCGTCTTTTATTTGCTACGAATGTTGGCGGTTACGTCACAGAGATGTAGGTGGCGTTTTAAAAAGGCCCTACAACGGTGACTCGACGGTACTTATAACTGCCGAGTGCTACAGTTTGTTCATTCGGTATATTCATTGTTTCGTTATGTACGATCTACTGAGTTTTGCTCTGTTGGGCTACCACGTGGTAACTCTTGTATCTGGTTACGCTGTAAACCAATTTACTAACAATGAAAACAGACCCGGGGCTCATCTCATCGTCATCGCTGCCCCACGACAATACGATACTTACTACCAAAGAAATTACTTTAACATTCTACAATTTGATATTGATTATGCTATGAAAGTTATGGGGAAAGATAACATTGTTGTCCTTGGAGACCAATATGCAATACAAATATTAAAACGTTATCTTCCCGACGATATTTTGTTGGAGAGCGAAATGGAGGACATTTGGATGAGAGATCCCACGACTGTAAATCCTTATAATCCCGTACAATTCCGCCTCACGCCTGCATCTTATGAAGAAAACCAGCGTGCGGCTGATAGAGTTCAGCGTGCATTTTCTTCGTTTTTCAAGAACCTGGGAGTCCAGTTTGACGAAACTCCAAAATATGACGGTTACTTAATGGATGGAGGCAACGTAGTTGATAATTATAATGATAAAATTGTCGTCACCGATCGTTTTCTGCAAGATAACCAACTTACAAAGGCTGAAGCAAAGCAAATGTTAAAAGAACTATATCGAGGAGTTGATAAAGTCGCTATAGTTCCTACAGACGACCCTGAAGGCCTAGCCCACTCTGATGGTATGGTTATGTTTATCAACAGCAATGCTGCCATGATTACCAATTACAACTACAATAAGACTCTGAAAAAGCTAATAACGAAGGAACTGCTTGATGAATTTCCAGGAATCGAACTGATTCAGGATGCTGACACTTGGACATCCAAAGCTTATGACCCGAAGATCTCGTCAGCTTGTGGACTGATGGTGAATGGCGTATTAACAGAGAACTTCCTTTACGTCCCAACTTTCAACAATCCGACAGACATATCCATCCTGACGACTATTCGAGGCAAGACCAACAGAACTGTTGTACCAATAAACGCTTCACGGGTTTGCGAGATGGGTGGTAGTGTGAGATGTTTGTCATGGCAACAAACAGGTGAAAACGCTAGAAAAATAATCGAAGCTGCAAGAAATGATGATTACTTTTGGTTGTACTAAAAAAAAAAGTTTGAAATCTGGAACTTGTTTTATTTTCGTTGGGATTTTGGTATCAGACAGGTTTTTTTTTATTGTAGAAACTGATGATATAATCCATATTTCTCCAAGTTTAATATTTCACTTTAATTCGTGTAATATATCTACGTAAACAAAACGAGCGTCTATAATACTAATAATTAACTGTTTTAACTCTTTAATCCTTATTACTTATGTTTAATTTCATTATTATGAAATTAATCGGTTTTGTTAATCTCGTATTAATCAAAAGCTTGGAAAAACTAAGATATTATTTTGAAGTATGCTTCTCCTAGAAACAGATCGAACTATTTATGACTAACCTGTATCCTTAGCACTAACTGAAACAGTAAATCTAATGTTCAGATAATCGTGGTAAATATATAAGAGTGTTGATTTTTTAGACTATTTAGAAATGTTATTTTATCATTTGGGTATGTGATAAATGAAACTACTACATGTATATTTTTGTTTTTAATCATACGTTATAGCTGAACCCCATATATTCTTTACTCGCATGATAAATGACCAAATATTTTAACTAGTTATAAATCACTTGAGAAATGTAATGCACATATTTTAGTTTTTATGGGTATTAAACATGGCTTACCTCACCATGAATGTACTGTACTTTGTTTGGTTCTATACCACTCAATGTAATAACTAGACTGTACAATTAAAAACAATGATTAGTAAAACGACTGAATGAGAAATATATTTAAATAAACTGATCTTTTAGTATCAAACAGGAATATAGCCCAGAATCTGACGAGGTGACGTTATAATTAATGTAGCTGTATCATAGAACCAGCTTAATAACAACAACAACAACAGTTTTTATCATCTCCAGCTTGCTACTTAACAACACACAAAGTTTCATCATCTCCAGCTTGCTACTTAACAACACACAAAGTTTCATCATCTCCAGCTTGCTACTTAACAACACACAAAGTTTCATCATCTCCAAGCTGCTACTTAACAACACACAAAGTTTCATCTTCTCCAAGCTGCTACTTAACAACAACAACTAAAACACAAAAAGTTTTCATTTCCATTTTGCTGCTTAACAGCAACTACAATAAACTTTTTTTCATCTTGTCCAGCTTGCTGCTTAACAGTAATAATCTAACATGTTTCATCATATTCATGTTGCTGTTTAACAACAACAGCAAAATTTTCTCCTATACATGTTGCTCATTAACAACAATAAAAAACCAAGTTTTTTATCATTTCAAGATTTCTGTGGGATAAGTTCTTTTCTGATAATTATAACTCAGTGAATGACCATATGGGTTGTAAAAGAATGATATTGAAACATAAAATGTTAACAGATTTTACGGATGATACTACAATGTCAAACTATTCAACCTTCAAACTGTATTTGTTATCACTGTGTGATGTCAGTCCTGGAATCCTCCCTTCCTAAGTCAAACACTTTATAAATGACCTAAACTACTCATTCTAAGTTATTTCTGAATTTATAATAACAGGGCTTGCACACACACTCGTGATGATAAAATTCAATGCTTCAACTATACTGGTTTTCAAGGATTCCCAACAACAGACATTCATGAAACTTCTGACAAAAAATATTTTCCAAAATTCACAGGATCCTAATTAATGCATTTAGATGGTTTCTACAGATGGTACAAACTTGGAAAAAAAAAAACCAAGTAGCCTAAAATCTGTGTCCATATCATTGTTAACACTAACCTGTAAAATATCAAATATTTAATGCAGATGGAACTACAGCTAAACATCACACTTTTATTACTGAACAATAATCATAAACACCAACCACAACATTATTTTAATATCATGGTGCATTGGTAGCTCGTACAAAATGAAATATCTCAAAAAAAAACTTTCTCCTGGGAAAACAGAAAATTGTATCACTACCAAAAGTCTGAAAAAAGTTTGACTTTACTATTTAAGTAGAAATATATTTTGTTTTTTAGTTCTTTATCTACTTATCTCCTTTTGTTTTTCTATGCAAGTTCTCCTGTTTGCTCAGTTTATCTGCTAGACTGTCAGAAAAATTATTTAACCGTTCTATATCTATTTTAACATATTTCCTTCTTCTTTAAATTCTTCTATTTCATTCATTTTTAGCAAACTTTTCAGAACCAATAACCTGGAAAAACTGTTACGCTATTTCTTCATAAACTTTTACTTTCAGCATCTTTGCATTTAAAGGCATTCTCCATACCTTTTAGAATTTGCCCCTACACACTGATGGCTTACATGCCTTATTTCTTGGGTTCAAGCAGAAGAGGTTTCTAACCAGCAAGTAGCGAAGAGAATATTTCTAAGAATCCTCTTTAAGGGGTTTATGACAGAATTTGAGCCAACATTTCACGATTGGTTTTTCAAAAGGGTTAACCTGTTTAAGAGCTCTTTCTGCTAGAATATCACACTTTTTGTAGTGGGATAATTTTCTTTTTTCTTGGTATCAGTTCACACAAGAAGCTGCAGAAATTAAATCATTCTCAATGAACCTCCTCACTAATGCCTTGGATGAATTCACTCAAACACCATTTGAAATGAAGCAGACAATTGGCATATCTGTTTAGTAGGATGTAAAGAAAGGTTCCATATGGAGGGTCACAGAACTGAAGAAGTGAAACTTGGCCTTGAAGAATGGTTTCAGATGACTTGCACTCTGGTCCTGGTAGAGACTTATTCTATACTGCATTAATATAATTTGACACATCATCCCAAATTAAGTGTGCACAATTACACACAGATCTATTTTTAATCCACTGGTGGCTAACAAACTTCAGAGGCATTTTTGATGAGTCTAAAGTAATTTTGTTGTAGTCTTCCCTCCTATTTGAACAAATTATGCAAGCTTTGTAATATAGGTAAAATGATTCAACCAGTGGCAATAGATCCTGCCTTAAAACTGTTGTGCATAATACGCACATAATTCATTGTTTACAAGGGAGGTGTCATATAGTCATAGAATTTCCAATTTACTGATATGAACCATATTTCTAATGTTACAAGCACTCTCAAAGACATTCTCAGTAAACTTTAGATCTAAATGCTCTGCTGTAGCATGCCCTGTGAAGGTGTTTTAATAATAACAATGTACTATTGGAATGTTAAAAAGAATCACATTACAGCAAGTAATATCCAACAAACTACACATGTATTGTGGTACCCCCAATAAATTATGTTGCACAACTACAGGAGCCTTGAATCATTTTGTCTATAGCTTTGTAATAATTATTTTACAGCATATTAGTTCACCAAACTCAAAATTAATGACAGGTGAAAATTATATAAAACTAAATGCAACCTAGACGTGCTCTTACCTATAAATACTGATTCTAAATAACAGGTAAAAACACATCCATTAATCCAACATCATAGGTAAATGTCCATTTGCTTCTGTTGATTCTTCTTATTCAGCATTTCATCAAACAAAACAACAAAATGTCATTTTGCAGACTGCTATAAGATCTTCTTACTATGTTCAGTCAAGCTAAACGTACTCCGAGATACAGTCTTTCTATCAACACGTTGAAATTTTGCTGTCCAAGAGCATAAATAACATGAAGAAATTTACTGATACCAATGTTGAAATTAAGAGCTATAAATAGCAACAGTATGAAGAAAACAAGACACTTTAGCCTGCAGTACTTCATTATTAGAAGCAAACTCTGTCATGTCCTATAGTGATAGACCAACACTAGGACCACAAACACTAGAACTTTCTAGTTTTGTTCAAACATACAACGAAAGAGATATACAGTTTTCCTGAAAAGTCTTCATATCTATACAGTAATTTTCAGTTCACATAAGCAATGTTAGTGCACTTTTTCCCATCTTTTGTTTATTTGTTGTTAAGCACAAAGTTACACAATGGGCTATCTGTGCTGTGCCCACCACAGGTATATAAACTCAAAATTTAGCATTATAGGCCTTCAGACTTACTGCTGAGTCACTGAGGAACGACATCTATTTGAAAAAAAACAACAACTACTTTGTTAAAAGAAGCACAATATGCCTTATAGTGACACCAGTGTTCCCTCTAAGCTGCACAACAACCAATCAAATGCAACACACTTAATTATTCCAGAAGTGCACATCCTCAGTAATGGTGAGGAGTCTCAACTGATAAATCATGTTAGAAAAACTGTGTGAAAAACATTACGAAAACAAGAGGTGAATGGGGAGTGTCACTCTGGCGGAGACAAAGGCAACTAACAAAAGTAAATAACTTAGCAACTGACTGACCAAACTTCTGAATAGTCTGATTATATAAAACTAAAGGCTATATCATGACAGAATTTTATGGAGTACTTAGATTTAAGGATTTTTCAAGAGATTTGGTTGAAATTCAAGTTGTTGTTTTTTAAAACGAAATTCAAATTTAAGGATTTTTTCAAGTTCTATGCAAATCATGTAATAACCTGAAGCAAAATGATAAGGTACAAGCTACTACTTATTTAAAAAAATTGGTTTAATAGTGATTGCTATAAATGGAGAAATTTAAAGGTAACAATTTGTTTCACCAAAAACAAAGTCGTTAAACATAAGGATTAGGAATTTGCTTCAATTATCGTCTGAATTCTGTAAGACTTTTCTACACAAATGAGGTAAACAAGCAAGCTGTTATCATAAGTATATTTATTGGTTTACTGAATATTATTGCACAACTACATGTTGCACCTTTCTTCAACACCTGTGTAAAATAAATTCAAAAAAATATATTTTTTAAAATAGAGAGGAAAAAAAAATTAAAAAAATTACACAAGTAAGATCTGTATGTTGCTGGTTTTTTTTTCCTACCCAAGCAGTTAATGTAGCAACTACACCCTGTTACAGTAATTATATACATTTACAGAAGCAAGCTGATTAAAAATCAGTTAAATACGTAAAATAACAAATTTGATTTTACAGAATTGTTCCTGTATACTTTCAGTATCCAGGTGCTTCATTTTATGACCTGTAAACTTATAATTGCAACCTTTAAAACTTTATAGTATTGTTCTTTTTTCACCAGTCATAATTCCACAAAAAACAACAACTTTCCTCTGTACAGTTACCCGTTACAGCTATCGTGAAGAAACTGGCACATTGTGTGTTGTTTTTTGTTTCTTTTTCATCTTTATATTTCAGTTATTTTCGATCTTGTTCTGAGTGTTGGTTTTGTTTCCAGTCATCAGAGGACAATGTCCGCCACTTCTCTATACCAGGAATTCCATCGAGCCCAGGACAGCTTGGAGATCTCATTAATTCTGAAATATCAAGAAAAATAATCATAAAATAACTTCAACATCAAAGTCACTTCAAATCCACGGTAAGAATAAGCTGCAATTACAGTAGCTGTGTTTGTGAGGTTCCTTAGAATGTGTCTAATCAAAGCAAACTCAATCTACAAAAAAGAGAGATCAAGCCAATTCAAGAAGAAGCATTGGATTTTTTAAACTATTTTATTTTACAATTATTGAAGACGAAAAAAAAAAATGTTTCTACAAGAAATCACCTTGAGCAGAATAAAGTGCTAGAGAATGTGACCTTCTAGGTTTTGATTCAAAACCTCTTCGAGAGAATGTACTGCTACTTGTGGCTGGGTGGTGGCGAGAGGTGAGGCTTGTCTCTCTAATTCTACACTCACTGCTGTCTTCTTCACTCGCTGTTTGTAGTAAAAAAACAACAACATTAAACGTTAAATTTACGTTGTTTTAAATATTTATAGTATAATCAGGGTTTGTACATTTAACTAGAAACAAAAAAATGTGATTTTCCAAAACTTCTTAAGGACCAACAGCTAGATTTCAAGAGCCTAAGACAAGAGGTAAACGAATATTGATTTTTAAACAGAGAATCAATGATACCATAAAGGATAGAGGTACCATGAATAGTATAGTGACATTAACAATTACATGAAACAAAGATAGTGCTCACCAAACACTTGTACATTCCTTGCAATTTGCATAATTCTTTCCAAACTTTGTTTAGTATTAAGCTGTAAGCATAACAATATGTATTTATACAATGATTTTTGTGGTTCAGCTTTGCAGTTATCATAAAGTCGGAATAAGCTACCTGAATTATTACCTTTTAGTTATATTGAAACCCATTAAAATATTTTAGTACTGGTTAGATCCTTTGATTTTTAGTAATATAAATACCAAGACCATTAATTCTCTGTAACAGCTATTATATCTGGAAAAACTCACAAAACCTAAAATTTTCATTTTGTCACACATTAAATACTAACTTTCAGTTGTCTGCATGAAGCTTAACTGATATAAAAGGTTAAAACATCATATAAAATTTATAACAAACTTGAACAGTTTGAGAAATGTGGTTGGCAAGAAGGCATAACCTGGAAGGTTTTTACTACTGAACATCTTACCTTGAATATTATGTTAAGGTGACACTTTTGCATTCCTTCTTCCACACACTAGCATCCTGAAACATCATTATAACATAATATTCAAGGTAAAATGGCCAATAATACAAACCTTCCAAACTTAAAATGTAAGTAGACAATAGCAAAAACCTCCTACATAAAAAACAAACCAACAATGAACGTATCTTATCTAGTTTTCTGCTACACACTTCTTACCGGGTGAAGAGGAGGCAATGAAAGATTCTAGCCTAGTCCTCAGACTGCTGACTTCATCCTCTCGCAGCCTGCGCTCGGCTTTCAAACTCTGGTCTAATTGTAGACACTGGATATCCAATATATTGACATGCTATATACAGATTGACAGGTCAGCTAATGTCTCATGCACAAATATTAAACTTAACACAAAATATGGGGGTAAGATCTTGCAAAATTAAACACTAAATAAACAAGAACTACTGAAAGCAACTTATTTCAAAGCATCCACAGAAACGAAAAAAAAAAGCTCTGCAAAACATTGCAGAGATGATGCTTTATGTGCTCAATGATCATCAGATCACTATAGTAGACCAGTCAACAGTAACTAAAATGTTACAGAAGAATGCAGTCCACAGTAACTAAAGTATTACAGAAAAATGCAGTCTACAGTAACTAAAGTGTTACAGAAGAGTGCAGTCTACAGTAACTAAAGTATTACAAAAAAATGCAGTCTACAGTAACTAAAGTATTACAGAAAAATGCAGTCTACAGTAACTAAAGTATTACAAAAAATGTGGTCCACAGTAACTAAAATGTTACAAAAAATGCAGTCCACAATAACTAAAGTATTACAGAAAAATGCAGTCCAAAGTAGCCAAAGTGTTACAGAAGAATGCAGTTCACAGTAACTAGTGTTACAGAAGAATGCAGTCCGCAGTAACTAAAATGTTACAAAAGAATGTTATCATAGTGATGTTTTGAGTAACGATGTTTTTTTCATAACTAATACAACAGTTTTCTCAGCAATTGTAGAATAAAAAAAATGTAACAATAAAACAATACTGATATACTTTTGATTAAAATCATTTTGAAGAGATATTTAAAAATACATGCTACTGTTTGGTTTTACTGGTTCTGGCTGTTAGCATTGGTGACTGTTTTATTTTAACAAAAAATAATGAAATTATAAATTACAATCAACTCATCACAATAACAAAAAAAAGAAGGGAGAGAGAAACAACAACAGAAAAAGGAACCAAACCCTACTGTCATTACTGCAAGTTCAGACTGGTAAGGCAGTTAAAAAAGAAAAATAATAATGTTGAAAGTAAAAGAAAAAATACCAATGTATAAAATCACAGAGACTAATGTTTGTTTGTTTCTAAAAGTAATAATCTGAGCAAAATAGAAAGAACTAAAGTTTTGGATAAAAAAGATGCTAATATTTAAAAAGAAAAAGTCTCATGTTAAGAGCAAAAATGAAAGTCTAATGTTTTAAGTAAAACAGGACTAATTTAATGAACACCAGTGTTTTTGTGGACACAAATGTCAAGCAATAAAACTGGCTCAGTTTCTTAAGATTTTTAAATAGAAGATTCACTGTTGGTTAATGATAAAGTACAACACATTAATCTACATGTTCACCAATACAATGATTACATTTTGGGCTTTAAAGGGAGTGTTGAAATATGTTGTGTAGATTTTTTGTAATAGACTGATTTTCTTAAACCTAGGATTATCAATAAGGTCCATTTTGATCCAATAAGCTTTATAAAATACACATTTTTCTGGACTATTTATGAATCAAATTGCTTTTGAGTCCATGACTTAGTTGGTTAAACAGTTACTAAAAACATACGAGTCACATAAAAAATAAAACTTATCAATTACTGCTAGGGCCTCCTATTCATTTACATATAAAATGATTGATTTTTCACTATTTAATTTGGTCAGTTCTTTTTTACACTGAATGTTGTAACAGGCAAAAATATAAAATTACTCAGTATGTGGATCCTCCGACTGTTAGTGAACAGTATAAAACACAGTTGTAATTTGAGAATCAAAAAATTGTTATATTATTACCAAGGTAGTCTTTGTATATAGTTTTCCTAACTTCTAGTTACCACTTACATTCTCAGTTAAATGAACTTTCTGAAGCAGTTCAGCATTTTCCTCTTTTTGTTCTGCTAGCTCTTGGTCCCGAAGATGGACAAGTTGCTGGAAAGATGCATGAAAAATACCAGTAAGTAAATTTTCTAATAAGATGTAATAAACAAATATTTATAATAATAGAATTTCTAAAAACTGTATTTAGGAGTAACCTGTAATTTGAATTTGTGTATTAAACGATTCACTGAAAATAGATACAAGTCCATAAAAAAGAAACCATCCAAGATACTGGATTATTTCAACTCATAATCCTGATGGCATATTAACAAACAGTTGTTACAGTTCTTTAGAATTTTAGCACAAGTCAAATAAAAGACCTCAGTAACAGCAAAAACATCATAATACTTTAAGCCTAGAAGCAACATTAATTCTTGTTTTAGCCACATGACACCCTGTAAGTAACTAACATTAAATGGGTAATAAATTTAAAATTGTTATGTGAGTGAATACATAATATCACCTCAAACAAAAGTAAATGTGCAACAAAGATACACTGTTCAGATATAATGAT